GCAATGTGGCTCAGTTTGTTGTGGATGTATTTACATGGTCATGGTCTTTTTGCTACTGTTCCTGTCTGCACTGTGTCTCTGTGTGTGATGGATGTATTTACATGGTCATGGTCTTTCTGCTGCTGTTCCTGTCTGCACTGTGGCTAAGTGTGTGGTAGATGTATTAACATGGTCATGGTCTTTCTGCTGCTGTTCCTGTCTGCACTGTGGCTAAGTGTGTGGTAGATGTATTAACATGGTCATGGTCTTTCTGTTACTATTCCTGTCTGCACGGTGACTCAGTGTGTAGTAGATGTATTAACATGGTCATGGTCTTTCTGCTGCTGTTCCTGTCTGCACTGTGGCTCAGAGTGTGGTAGATGTATTAACATGGTCTTTCTGCTGCCGTTCCTGTCTCCACTGTGACTCAGTGTGTGGTAGATGTATTAACATGGTCATGGTCTTTCTGCTGCTGTTCCTGTCTGCACTGTGACTCAGTGTGTGGTGGATGTATTTACATGGTCATGGCCTTTCTGCTGCTGTTCCTGTCTGCACTGTGGCTCAGTGTGTGGTGGATGTATTTACATGGTCATGGTCTTTCTGCTACTGTTCCTGTCTCACTGTGGCTCAGTGTGTGGTGGATGTATTTACATGGTTATGGTCTTTCTGCTGCTGTTCCTGTCTCCACTGTGGCTCAGTGTGTGGTGGATGTATTTACATTTTTAATCAGTCCTGTGACTAAACAAAAAAAATATGCTGTCAAATTAAATTATCCAAGTCTAGACAAGTTAGAGGATAGTATATCTTTAGACAAAACCATGAAACCAACCACTTAAGGGAATATTTTGTTTTCCTCTGAGATAATAACAAAACACTTTTTTCAGTAAACCTGCAACACTTTCACCTTCTGATAAGCCTTAAACCACTTTGTATCAAAATAACTAGATAAAGGCACAATGCACTATATGTAAAAGAAGACATACCTGCAACTGGTGTCTGTGTTGGGGCAGGTAGATAAGTCTGTTTTTCTCCATCCCAGTATAGAAACTGTTGTGCTTCTGCATTATAGTAGTACTGAGAGTTAGCATCATAATAAAGACCCGTACTTGGATCATAGTAATATCCCGATGTATCATCATACTGGTAAGTAGAAGTATCCGGAGGTAGGTACTTAGCATAGCTAACACCATCAACAACAACCGAGCCCAGATTAGCCTGATAACATGAAAAATTAACACATACAAATTATGCAAAGACACACAGAAAAACGAACCCAAAAAATGAGTCGGAGAATATCAACCAACCATCAACTTAAAAGGATAAAATTTGTGGACTTAGAGAAGATTTCAATCAAAGAGTATACAAAATAAATTAAATCCAACGTACATTGTGTATTTTTCGGTTGTACAGCTTCTTCTGTTAATAGATCAAAGAAATATTTAATAATAAAATATCCAAAGTAATTAGTAAAACTCCACTACTATCAGAAAACAAGAAGAAAATCGTGAAGTTATTACATTGCACAATTTGTTCGAGATAACATTGTAAATTATGCAAAAATGGCCTTTCATCTATCACAAGTACTCGTCATTTTACATCATAAAAAAAAGAAGAAAGTCCAACATTTGTTCCAGGTTTACTAAATTAATGAATATGAGCATAGTGCTACGTCATCCTTCATAAATCTTTTATTTAGCCATATATTTGTTAAAAGTAGTAACATACATGTGAAATAACACCAAAATTTACTGAAAGTTTATTTACAGTGTCAAACATTTCTTATCCCGTAGTTTGAATTAGGTGCAACGGGTTTAGCAATAATTTGAAATTAATATCGACCGAAACAAATTTCTATATATCAGTTATATATATAGGTATATTTATTAGAAGTTATAATGAAGACATACTCTTACAACCTTAATCTTCACATTTCAGCACTTTTAACTTCTGTAATTAATTACATTTTGTAACTTTAATTTCAGTTACACTTAGATATATCTTCAGAGATATTTTCTGTGAACTTGGTTACTAATTAACTCATTCGGAAAAGGCACGTCACAAGGTTTTAGTAGAGTTAAAATTAAATTCAACTACTTTCTTATCATCACAAAAGGAGACTTGTATTTTCACCTGAACATTTGAAGCTGTAACTCCTCGAGGGCCTGCAGAAATAGTAGCACTACTCTGGATTCCTTTTTTCAGTTTTACACCATCTGACTTGTGAGCGTCCTACATGGAGGAAAAAATAATCCCACACGTCAAGCACTACATAATAAAATTCTATCAATACACACAAACTTTACCCAAAATGTTTATACTGGAATTGTTATCACAACAAACCACTTGCCAAAAAAAACGAAAAACAGTAAGGACTCTGTAATTAAAAAAATGGTATGGAAACTGTGAACTTAAAAGGTGTAGATATGAGCCATTCAATAAGTTTTTATTACAAAACAAGTTTATTAATGATTTATGTTTTAACATCCGAGTATAAAATGGATGGTAACATGACAGTTTTTGTAAGGTTTCACACAAATAAAAACTTACCCCTTCAGCCCGGGCTACACCAACTATAAGAGAAAATAAACGAGTATATAAATCATGGGATAAAATTCAAGAATGATGTCCCAGCTTCTTCAAATAAATTTATGAATCAAAGTTTAAAACATTTATGGCTAGTGAAGATCATTCTGAAAAAAACATTTTGACAAAATCTTTCATTTCATCCTCTTATCGTTCCAAGCTTTGGCTAATAATTAACTGCAACATGTGAGCTCGTAACAAGCTACAGAGAAAAATTACCGGAAGAAAAAAAAAAGCTACATAATATGTTCAGATAATATAACTTGGGTGGATTAACAAGAGTAAATCCATGTGTTTCTTTAAAATGGCATATCAAACTTATCTACTTTTGGTATTTGATATATATATATAGTTTTTAAAAATGTAGTATTTTTGACACCCATAACCCTTCCTAAAAATAAGTCATGCAACAATTTTTAGAATTTTTCTAAGGTTACGTAACATTGTATGAAACAGATCTAAAAACCAAACCTGTAAATTATATAACTCTCATGCTCTTATTAGGTTAAGTATGAAACATTACTTTTAAACATACACACACATATACTGACTGTATCTCGTTAATTTTCACCTTCAAAACTGTTCTATTCACTTATCGGTGAACGTTGATAAGTTTATCGTTAAAAATAAAATGGCAAAGTAAGATCTAAACATTTAACTTATCATGAAAAAATTACCATTATCTCCTCCTAAGTCCCCATAATTGTACTGATAACTAGAATTGTAGTCCGCCTAAAAACAACAAAATCTGTTAGTGTTCTTTGTCATTTAAATAGCTGAATACAGCACTTAACCATTTCTTTATAAAAAAATCCAAACTGTTTAAATCTTGTCAAATGGTTCTATTCACATTTTGAATACCACTGTTTTTCAATTCTACAAAACTCTTGATTTCTTAGCAAGTAAACAAGTTATATACAGCTCACCTTTTACACCATAACTATTTAAAAAAAAACTATAAACATGTATTTACATAAATATTTGACCAAATGTAAAAAAAAAAGATAACAATTCACATCAAATAGTACTGATTAAAGGTATGTTGTAGAACAGAGAGAGGCGAGAGAAAAAACTGAAATGCTCGCTAGTTTCAATATGTGCCTACAAGTAAGACATCTGGCAAGTGATGTTGTCTCCATGGTGATTCCAGCATAGACTGCAATTTCCTATGCAGAGAGGAACAGCAGCATAAAGTCCATGACCCAGTCGTTTATTGTAACACACTTTAGTAAGAGACAGTTGTTCATTGTAATACACTTTAGTAAGAGAGTCGTTTATTGTAATACACTTTAGTAAGAGTCGTTTATTGTAATACACTTTAGTAAGAGACAGTCGTTTATTGTAATACACTTTAGTAAGAGACAGTCTTTCATTGTAATACATTTTAGTAAGAGACAGTCGTTTATTGTAATACACTTTAGTAAGAAAGTCGTTTATTGTAATACACTTTAGTAAGAGACAGTAGTTTATTGTAATACATTTTAGTAAGAGACAGTCGTTTATTGTAATACATTTTAGTAAGAGACAGTCGTTCATTGTAATACACGTTAGTAAGAAAGTCGTTTATTGTAATACACTTTAGTAAGAGACAGTAGTTTATTGTAATACACTTTAGTAAGAGACAGTAGTTTATTGTAATACATTTTATTAAGAGACAGTCATTCATTATATAATGCACTGTCCAATCAGCTGAAAAACTAGGGTAAGAAGACTGTATACTTACTTTGGCTATTTTCTTGGCAATCTTGACTTTATCTTGTTTGTCTCTATTTTTGGATTTTTCATCTTTTGTTGATTCCGTGTCTGTACCACCTGAAATGAAAGATTCAAGAATTTCTAGCCTGATTATTCATAACATTTTTTTGTTTTTACACCTGTCCCCAAAAATAAACACAAGTCTCTTACTAAAGTGTATTACAATAAACGACTGTCTTACTAAAGTGTATTACAATAAACGACTGTCTTACTAAAGTGTATTACAATAAACGACTGTCTCTTATTAAAGTGTATTACAATAAACGACTGTCTCTTACTAAAGTGTATTACAATGAACAACTGTCTCTTACTAAAGTGTAATACAATAAACGACTGTCTCTTACTAAAATATATCATTTGACACTAATAAAATGTAAGGTAACAAAAAATAATATTTTGAAAGGAAAATCTACAAATCAAAATGTTAAGATAATATTATTCTTTATAGGATATGGAACGATGGGCTAAAACATTGAATCAGAAGAAGGAAAATGCTAAACTCGGTTTATCTGGTATACCTACCAAGAGCATGTTAGAACAAGCCAGACAGTCTGCTGCAGCTGATGCTGGGTTTGCTGTTCTGGAGAAAAGAAATACCATTGGAGAAAGACAGGCCTTAGTATCAGAGACTTTGAAGAAAGAGTTGGAGGAGACCAAAAAATTTCAGATGCCATTAACAGGTATGTTATGTTTCAAAAACTTTGGAGTTCAACTAGCAATTATGTAACTGAATTGTGTTTGTGTTCACATGTGCTAGTTAGGCTTCATTTTCATATAATAAAAATGTTCTCTGCAAAATACTTCTTATTTGGGGGACACTTTTTTTAAAAACCATGATTAGCCCTTTATTAGAGAACAGAAATGTACCATATTATATACTACTAGCTGGAGTACCTGTCCCCTGGATGGAAGTTATGTAAATTCATGATTAATGGAAGGTTATCTTAGGTCTTTAAAACTTGCTTCCCTTATATGTAATTTTAAAAAATGCAAAATGTGAAACTGTAAATTTGTATGTATCTCCCCATGGACCCAATGAACCTTCATATCAATTTTGGTGAAGATCCATCTACACCATGGAAAGTAGTTACATGGACATACAACAGACAGTACTACTGTATTTATGTAGATTATTTAGTCATTTCTGAGGTAATAAAAATATTCTGCAAAAGACAGTTTTAGTCCTTTCTTTGTTAGTAGAAATATTGTGTTAAAGATGTGGTTTTGTCATCCGTTATGTAATAGAGATATTGTGTTAAAGGTGTGGTTTAGTCGTCCGTTATGTAATAGAGATATTGT